CATGAATCCTCCTTGAGCCATAATGTTATGGTTATGATGTTATGATGGGGAAAGATTTGGTTGGTTGGTTTGTTAGTTAGTTAGTTGGTTAGTTATGGTATAAAATGAATCCTCCTTGAGCCATAATGTTATGGTTATGATGTTATGATGGGGAAAGATTTGGTTGGTTGGTTGGTTGGTTGGTTGGTTGGTTGGTTGGTTGGTTTGTTGAATTCCAAATGTCCAGTTAGAAGAAATAATCTCTGATTGAATGTTGCAGACCAGGAAAATGGCAATTTGTGCACCATGTGAATGTTGTCCCTCACTGGGGAGATTAATCAGAAATTCAATGACCAAATTACAAGCCATTCAAAAAAACAAGTCATTTTGCCAGTTATTTAAAAGACATTCTCATTGTCTCGCAGAAAGAAACTGTATAAAGCCAGCGGTATCATTTGTAGCACTTTAGTGAATGTTTACCAAGTAAGAGCATGTCAGATCCCTTTTTCCTCCTTAAAATGTCTAGGAAATTAATACTACGTGCGGTGTTTAGACATCTCTTATGACCTGTTCAGTTTCTTCTTTTTTTAAAGAGCTATTATTGTGTTTGGCAATCGTTTGTCTGAATGTAGTTTGGCTTTTTTAAGTTTGTCGCATTAGGGCAAGACATAAAGTTCCTGCGCCACCACCGAGAGTTTTAGCTGTTATTTGGTCCAAATATTATGCCAAAAAAGATCTTTAGTGCATTTCCTAGTTTAGATAACAGCGGTATTAATGTTGGCCCACTCACTATTAGGTTGGCATTGTCGTTGGCATCAAAAACGACAGAATTTATAAGGAACTCTTGATTATACCTCTTATTGGAATCATATGTGTGTCCTGATGATCAGTCCTGTTCCTGATTTCCATCTAGATTAAACTGGGACTTTAATGCCCATTGTTAGTGTTTGTTCTAAGGACAGAATGTACTTCCTTTTGGGTTGTGCATGCATAGTTGTTCCTGTTGTTGATGTGAGCTGTGTGGATAATCTGAAGCAGGAATATAAAGGACAGGTCTTAAGATAGTAGTCAATTCTAGCTTGCACTGTTTGAGGACTCGTTTTTTTTTTTTTTTTTTTAGGTAAGCAGAAGACATTCAAAATCGAGCGGACCATTTAGTGTGAACACATTTCCTTACTTTCTTTGTAGAGTTATATAGTCAGTGCTTTTTAGGTTTATTTCAATTGTGTTGTATATGAACAGTGTGTTTATGTGTTGAATATATTTAAGACATTTTTAAAATGTGCCTTTAAAGAAAAAAAGCAAAAACTGAAACACTGAAAAAAATATTTTGCTCTGTTGAATTTCCTTTCTTTTTGTACTTTGTCAATATGGAGTGAGTTGTGTTTTGATTGGTTGAATTTGACTGGGTTGAGATGCAGTGGGATTGATTTAGTTTTGCTTCACTTTTATGTGCGTGTGAATGTATTTGTGTGTTTAAGTATCATACATACTAGTTTTCTTTGAATAAACTGAAGTGCGGTGTCATGATAGTGAGACATAAGCTCCAAAGCTTCCAAAGGCCAGTTGCCATCATCGTAACATGCATTTTTGTCTAATACATACCAGTTAAATTGCAATTTTAACAACTTTGTTAAAAGACTTAATAGATTTTTTTATTTTCTCTGTCTGAACAATTTGAGGATTATGCTGTTTTAAGATATTTTTCCCCATGCAGTGTATTTGTTGTGCTTTTTAAACTGCATAAAAGAAAACTGTTTAATCCATCAAATGTTAATCGCCGCCTAAATGGCCATTCAATGTATCGTGACACTTTAAATCACTATGTACCGCATGAAGTGTTTGGTCATCTGATTTAAGCATCACTTTGTCGTTGATCTGCAGACACTAAAACTTGCAATATGTGAGCTCACCAGTTCTGCATCACTACACTGATGTCTGACGTCCTCATTTTGTTCTCCAGTAATAAAGACATACATCTGTTTTACATTGATCTCTCAGAATTGTGTAAATTTGGATTGTAAATTATCGCTTTAAAACTTGTACCTTTAACAAACGCATGGAGATTTGCTTTCCGTCACCCTCTCCCCACCAAAGATATGAGCAATCCCAATTGTGACTGTTGCTAAACATTTACAGTTGTTTGTTCTGTTAAAAGACCGG